TGAACCTTCTTTCATATTTGTTCGATTAATCGTCTGCAATTTTTTCCATGCCATGATGCAGTAGATGCACGGCAGATTTCATGATTGCAGTCTCACTATATTGGTAGAGGAGCAACATTTTTAGTTTTAGAGCAGAGAGAGCAGATATGCATGAGGTTATATCCATATAAATTGACTAGACAAGCAGAGAAAACACCATGGCAACTTTCTTATTAAGATGGCAAATTTTTGGAGTGGTGAGGCCGTGAGATGGTAGTTTTAGTGTGGAAACACGGCAATTCTTCAATACACAACTCTAGCTTCATAAAAACGTTAGCGTAGCAGTAATTTTTGCCATGCTCAAAGATTGTGTCATTTACAAAGTTGCCATGATGATTTTGTGATTGCAGTTTCACTGTCCATGACCATATACAAGTTTACCTGATACCATCATAGAATTAGAATAATTTTTTCCATGCTCAAAGATTGTGTCATGTACAAAGTTTCCGTGCTGATTTTTAGACAGATAAAAACAATCAAACATTTTAGCATGCTATTTTACAAAACACACAAACATTTGCAGCCTTGATATATAACTGAATATTTGTACAGTAAGTTCAGTTCTCATTTGTATCTATCACAACATTTTTTATCACTAGTAGTGTGTCTCAAGCAGGGGGGGTTAGGAGGTGTTCAACCCGTGGTGAACGAATCGTGCCTTTTTTGCATGGTTAGTTTTGTGTCTCCAAGATGGCAAATTTAAGGTGTGTCATTTTTTGTGGTGTTTGTAGGTCTATGTTCGATGTCGCTTATCAGAAAAGTTGCCACGACAACTTAACATGCTAAAAACATGGCAAAGTTATAGTACATGACAAACTTGCCATGGCAATTAAGATGTTCAAAAACATGGCAAACTTGCCATGCAAACTTAACTATGTGCAAAAACATGGCAAACTTCTTTTAATTAGGTTTGTTCAAAAACATGGCAAACAAAAACTTTATTAATTAACATGTTCAAAAACATGCAAACTTGCCATGGCAAAGTTATAGATGGTTAAAAACATGTCAAACTTGCCATGGCAACTTAAGATGTTCAAAACCACGGCAAACTTGCCATGTCATTTTAAAATGCTCAAAACCATTTGCAAACTTGCCGCGGCAAACTAAAGATGTGCGAAAACATGGTAAAAATACTATTTATACCATGACAATTGTTTATGAATTATTGAATTTTCCACATGCCCATGGATATTTCGTTTGACCATGGTAAATTTAGTTTATCAATCATGGCAACTATAGTCTATGCATCATGGCAATTTTTAGTGTATCCACCATGACCATTTTTATTTTAAAATTTAGTCTATGCATCATGGCGTTTTTTGGTTTCTGGACCACAACAAATTTAGTTAATGGCACATTGCAACTATTTGTCTATGCGCCATGGCAAATTTTAGGGTATGTACCATGGCATTTTTTTTCATTTTAAGATTAGCCATGCCAAATTTCCTTTTTAGACCATGACAAATTTAGGCCCGTGGCAACTATAGTCGACGCAACAGGGCAAATTTTGTGTATGTACCATGACATTTAAAAAAAATGACCATGGCAAATTTAGGGCCATGGCAACTATAGTCTATGCATGATGGCAAATTTAGAGCATGCACGATGGCAATTTAATTTTTTTGAATTAGCCTATGTATCATGGAAAAATTTGCTTTCTGAACCACGACAAATTTAGTTAATGGCCCATGGCAACTATAATCTACGCATCATGACAAATTTCTTTTAATTGAGTTTGTTCAAAAACATGTCAGACATGTCAAACTTTTTTAATTAAGATGTTCAAAAACATGGCAAACTTGCCATGGCAACTTAAGATGTTCAAAAACATGGCAAACTTGCCATGACAACTAAAGACGTTCGAAAACATGGCAAAGTTATAGATGTTCAAAAACATGGCAAACTTGCCATGGCAACTTAAGACGTTCAAAAACATGGCAATCTTATTTTAATTAAGTTTGTTAAAAAAACATGGCAGGCTTGCCATGGTAACTAAAGATGTTCGAAAACATGGCAACCTAAGATGTTCAAAAACATGGCAAACTTGCCATGGCAACTAAAATCAGTATTTTTTATAGATGTGTTTTTTTCCATGGCAACTAAATGCAATTTTTTGCCTTGGTTCCGAAGAATGTTTGCCATGGCCATTACATATTAGTTTGAGAAGATGACAACTTTTGTTCTTCCAAATTTGTTTTTCCACGGCAAAATGTTTTGATCCTTTAAAATCTGTTTTGTCATAGCGATTACATGTACGATATCATTAAAAGTTAAGATGCTTTCTCCATTTTTTACAAAATTTTCTATGTGTTTAGAGAAACATTTTTTGACCATATATATTTTTTCACATGTTGCCATGGTGGCAAATTTCGCAGTGTAAACTTCATTTCTTTTCCCATGTTGTATACATATATATGCAAGCTTCATGGCAACTTTTCGTAGTGTAGACTTCGTAGTGATGGCAACTGAAGATGTTTCAAAAATGTTTCCATTAACATGGCAATTTTATTAAAAAAGATAGTGCCTTTGTCATATCTTATTCGAAGAACGTTACCATGGTTACTTAAGATGTTTATTTGCCATGGCAAAGTTGTCGTTTTTGAACGGGGCAATCTTTAAGTTACACCCATGGCAATTTTGTATCTTTTTCCATATCCAAATAATCATTTTTAACCACTGCAAAGTTATTTTCTGCTACCATGGCATTTTTATCGTCTGAAACATGGCATTTTTTACCTTTTTTAATCATGGCAAACTGATTTGTTAATGTCTTTTTGTTAATCAAGTGGATCAGCAACCATGGCATTTTTACACTAAACCTTTTTTTTGTTTTAAAGGCAAGGAGTTCCTTTTTCTTCTTCATTTTTTTAATGTTTTTGTTTTTTGTTTTACTTTTCCTGATTTTTCGGGCTTTCTATTCACGTCTGAGAAGAGGCCCAGCAAAATGGGCTATTGGGGCCTTTTTTAGATCGTGCTGATGGGGGTAGTTCGAGCTGGAGGGGTTTCATCCTGAACCTTTTCGTTCGGTAAAAGGTGCATCCCCGAGCGAATGAGTCGTTCGGTCTGGTGCTCTTCCAGAACGAACCATCGGGAGTTATCGGGGTCCAAGAAGAAACGGGCGTGATTACTATCAAATAGCCTGTTATGTATTGATTTGGTATTGATTACGAACATGATTGATTCCTTTCTTTTAAATTAATAGTCTGTTACCAAACACTAACGTGGTTGACTAAAAAAATGTTGTTTTTCCAATAAACATATTTAAGTTTCATCTTTCTACATAATTTATCAAACAAAAACCATAAAAAATAACACACGTTACGAGTAACTAATTTAGCTTGAGGTATAATTTATAATTTTACAATAATATAGCGTTTAGTTTGAAACACACACAAAAACTAACAAATTCTTACACAAAATCTAGCCGCGCAAATACGCGGGTAACTCCACTAGTTAGCTATATAATAAAAATATATGGTTGTGCACATCATAACAATGCAGAGACAGAGCTTTTAAAAAAAGGGTCGTGTTATTCGTCACCCTGGGTGAGGAATAGTTATTCTTCACCCCCTCTATTTTACCATCAATGCCCCGTAATTTTACGTTCCGTAACTTTTCTCTTATTTCTGACGTAAAAAAAGACCGTAAGAAAATATATAATCATTGTAAAAAATATTTTGTGTTATGTAAAATTACAAACGTAAAAACATAGTGTAAAATACACATAAACTGTAAATTTTCTTGTCTTATGATCTATATTTTTATTTTCTTATGCCAAATTTTACGTAATGAATCAATAGGAATGTAACTATTTAAATTGCAAACGTAATTTAATTATGAAATGATCGCAAGATTACCTCGGATGAAGAATAACTTATTCCGCACCCTGGGTGATGAGTAGTAACTACATATAAAAAAATCACATTTATAACGATTTCAACAAGTTTTTTTGGTTAGAATAGTGATTTTAACAAGTTATTAAACGAGCTAGCAAATTTTGAATACGGACTCGCTATGGTAAAAAGTCAAGTTGAGGTAACTTGTTATCTCAACGAGCTCTAACGAGCCAAGCCAAGAGGCTCGAATTTCATCCCTGAACCAGACCGGTATAATGACACCCGTATAATGACTTTATGCATACGTTTTGGATCCAGACACCCGTATAATGACTTGATATGCACACCTCTGGCGAATTCAAAACTGCTCGTGCATCCACATGGCGACATGGCATTGCACGAATGCTTCCTTGATGCCACACAAGCAAGCCAAGTTGCGAGCTGCCGTGCCCGTTACGCATGGGCTCCAGCATCCGAGGGGCAGGAAATCAAAATCCGCGCAGAATTCGGTGACGTAAACGCGGTTGAATGTCCAGATTGCTGCTCCTGCTCCCCTCGCGTGCCCGGTTGCCGACTCCGATGTAACCGATCCCGGCGGCCCTCGTTCCCGTTGGCTGCTGCACATGGCTCGGGCCTCGCAAGCCTTCTCCGTGAGATCGACGCACCTCGCTCACCTCCGAATTCTGTACACTGATTGGAGTTCCATATGCGCACGATCGCAGATCTCCATACCTCCCACGCTGGCCGGCATCGATTCGACGGAGCAAAGAGACGAAGTGCTTATATTTTTACCGCGGTGCATGCATTATTGCAGTCTGCAAGTGCCAAGTTTTCCATGCCCAAAATTCCCTGCTCCATGACCAGATCACCGTAACGTAGTTCCCTGCTCTACGTTAGCTTTGTTAATTCACAGCACCATGCACAGACCCTTGATTCCTCCGGATCAGTGTGCATGGAGTCAGTGAACACGGTATATATACCACGCATGTGCATGGAGTGAGTGAACACGCATGTGCATGGAGTCAGTGAACACGGTATATATACCACGAATCCGAGAAGTCTTCACGCTCACTGCATCCCCATCACAGCCGTAGCGTGCCGCGCTCGCCACCGCGCCGCTCCAAAATGGCAAGCATCGCGGCGGTCTTGCTCGTCCTGCTCCCGCTGCTCCTTTCCGCGGCCGTCGCCGGCGCGACGCATCCCGACGGCGGCTTCGGCTTCGGCTTCCAGGCCACGCTCACGCACGTCGACGCCGGCGCGGGGTACACGGACGCGCAGCTGCTCGCCCGCGCGGTGCGCCGGAGCAGGTCCCGCGTGGGCGCGCTGCAGTCGCTGGCGACGGCCGCGGACGCGCTCACCGCGGCGCGCATCCTGGTGCAGGCCAGCCAGGGCGAGTACCTGATGAGCATGGCCATCGGCACGCCGCCGCGGTACTACTCCGCCATCCTCGACACCGGCAGCGACCTCATCTGGACGCAGTGCGCGCCGTGCATGCTCTGCGTCGACCAGCCCACGCCCTACTTCGACCCGGCGCGCTCCAGCTCGTACGCGAAGCTCTCCTGCTCGTCCCCGATGTGCGGCGCACTCTACTACCCGCTCTGCTACCAGAACACGTGCGTCTACCAGTACTTCTACGGCGACAGCGCCAACACCGCCGGGGTGCTCGCCAACGAGACCTTCACGTTCGGCACCAACGGGACGTGGGTCACCGTGCCGAGGATCGCCTTCGGGTGCGGGAACCTCAACGCGGGCTCGCTCTTCAACGGCTCCGGCATGGTCGGCTTCGGGCGGGGGCCGCTGTCCCTGGTGAGCCAGCTCGGGGCGCCAAGGTTCTCCTACTGCCTCACCTCGTTCATGTCGCCGGTGCCGAGCCGGCTCTACTTCGGCGCCTACGCCACGCTCAACAGCACCAGCACCAGCGACAGCGGGCCGGTGCAGTCCACGCCGTTCATCATCAACCCGGCGCTGCCCACCATGTACTACCTGAACATGACGGGCATCAGCGTCGGCGGTGACCGGCTGGCCGTCGAGCCGTCGGTGTTCGCCATCAACGAGGAGGACGGCACCGGCGGGGTCATCATCGACTCCGGCTCCACGATCACGTACCTGGCGCAGCCGGCGTACGACATGGTGCACGAGGCGTTCGTGGCGCAGGTCGGGCTGCCCCTGGCGAACGTCACGTCGCCGGACGACCTGAGCACGTGCTTCAAGTGGCCGCCGCCGCCGAAGAGGGTGGTGTCGATGCCGGAGCTCATGTTCCACTTCGACGGGGCGGACATGGATCTGCCGCTGGAGAACTACATGCTGATCGACGGCAGCACGGGGAACCTGTGCCTGGCGATGGCGCCGTCCGACGACGGCTCCATCATCGGCAGCTTCCAGCACGCCAACTTCCACGTGCTCTACGACAACGAGAACAGCTTCCTGTCCTTCATCCCTGCGCCGTGCAACCTCATCTAGTCATAGCTCTGCTCACGTAGGCACGTTTAGCGCCCCTTCACAATTTCTGTACGTTTTATGCATAATTCCGCCATTTTTCATGTGTGTTCTCGTACTAATGTCGTAGATTTGGTGCTTGGCGAGGGTCTTAACAGTGGGTTGATCATCTGTATCCTATGAGATATTGAATTCATCAGATTCTTGGCTACCTCTGCAAAAGGTCGTCAGATGATCACCGGTTTTTTCCCCCCGAAGAACTAGCAGCAGCGCTGCCTTTCTCGTTAGGGGAGTATAGTTATCCATCTGATCACGACTTTAGTTTCATTTTGATGGAAATGGAACTGGTGCTGATGGCTCTTTGAGTAATAACAGTGATAGCTTTAGAACAGCTGCTGTAATTCAGTAGCTTCTGCCTTTATTTATCCTGACATTTGATGCTCGTTTTCACCTGCATCAGTGTGAAGGAAAAGAAGTTGTGTATATGGGAGCCTGTACATCATACTAGATCAACCATCCAAAACCAGTTGGCTTGTACAGTAAGATTTAAACAGTGATAGGAAATTATTGTCAAAGGGATAGTAGCAGGCTAGCAGCAGAAGGTGAAGGTAGCAGGAAAAATTGATAATATGGGGAGCAAGGAAAACCCAATCTATATGTTATATCGACTTGCTGAGAAGAGAAACTGGCATATATACACACTGTACCTATGCAAGGAAAAGAGGTAAATATATTAGAGGTCTTAGAACTTGCACATGGCAGTCACTTTGGTGCACAAAGTTGCAAAATACGTGTTTGTGGTCAATAAACTTGCGAGGCCGTTCAAATACAGTCACTCTCACCGTATGTATGCATATTCGTAGTTGCCAGCATGACATGGGCCCGCTGTAAGCCGCTGTAAATGTTCTTGTATGATAGTTTTTTGTAGAAAAGCCCTCAGCTCTTCTTTTATTTACATAGGAAGCCCCTCAAATAAAAAAACAGTGGAGGGATTTCGATCCCACGACGTATTACTGGGTGGCTCGCTTGGACAACCACCACAACAACAGTACCTAATGATTAATTAGCACGGCAACCTTGTACATCTTATCAACGCAGACTGAAAAAATTTAATGAAGAAATCTATCTAATAACCTGTGCAACCGGCGGGTTCGAACCTATGACATGGTGATTCACTCGCGCATAAGCTAACCACCAGGCAACTGCGACATGTGATGTAGTTTGTGGACAAACAATGTATATGTTTTTTATCACTCTTGTTCTATGTAAATACGTGCCATTTTAAAAACTGTTTAAACATTGTAAAAAAATGTTTGTGTAATTCAAAATATGTTCGTGCATTAAAAAAGCTACGCGAACAGTTTTTTGAACTATGCGAACATAATTGTACATTGTGTAAACTGCACGAATATATATTTTGAATGACTTATATCAACAATGTATATTCGTGCAGTTT